GTGGTCGTCTGTATCCTCACACTCTGGTTTTGTTGATTGTATGTAGATGAGTGTTTTTGTAGTTCAGAAAGAGGCTGACATCAGAGCGGCCAGATTCATACCCGCTCCTAAGTAAATTCGTTGAGCGACAAAACATCTCTGACTTTCCACAGACAATAGTTACAAGTGGCTCAAAACACTGAGTATCTTTCTACTACTTCACAAATTCTATTTTAACACGTTACGCTTGAAATCCATCTTTTGATTAGAGACTCAAGCTCAATGAGCAACGTTCTAACAAACAACAAAACGCTTCATTCATTTCACACCTGATTTCGACATTCACTATGATGTTCCAAAGGAATTTCGTGCCTGGCCCAGGTTAGTCACTAGTAATGATCATTTGTCAATAAGTTACACAATGAAATCCATTGATCGATTCTTCTAAACGAGAAAGTTCTTATATGATTGATTGAATGAATCATTATTGTGAGAAAATCAGAAATTAAACAATGAACTGCTGATATTATTCATATTATGAGATCAAAAAAACTGTCATTTCGTTTACTCATAACGGAGAAACTTCGAGAATCAAGTTTAATGCGTGCGTATGTGCAAATATTATTGTATATTTTCTCATCGTAAATACATAGAACGTGAAAGAAAGCAAGAAAAGAGAAAGAATATTGCAAGAACGAAATACACGTAATGATGAGTCTATTGATGAAAAGAAATGTTTACCTGATGAAAATGTCATGCTCGGGCGATTCACATAAGCATACATAAGTTGAAAAAGAAACAATTTCGTTAATGATAAACACAGAGCAAAATTGGTTGCAAGCATACAAAACAAAACTCGTACACCTCAATACTAGGTTAGTATATTTGATTTGTTACATTATTAGACTTGCGATAAAAAAAAATTGAATGCCAAGAATAGCTGCAAAGAGATTAAAAACGACGGAACATAGAAATGAGGTATTTTAATCATTGGAGAATAATTTTAAAAACGCTTCGATTGAAAATGTTCAGCATATTCAATCAATAGTCTCAATTAAAGTAGCTCTTACATGTAAAATAGTCCTACCACAAACCATGTCAAACAGAGTAATTTTTACAATACTTTTATCTCACTGATAAGATCTAGACATCAAACCAAAGGGAAAGCGAAAATTGGTCGAACGAAAATTGATCACGGATAATTAATATGTTTGAAGTCATGAAGACGAGCAACAGCATAATCAGATAAATTCGTCAGACAATTATCAATAACAGCTTGAGTAGTTTCATTACTATTAATTGCTCGATCACGAACTTTTTCTCCAAATATACTAATTTTAGCTGGAAGCGCATTACCACTCTGATTATGATTATCATTTTCGTATAACAATATTGTATTAATATAATTAGTATGAACTTGACCTTTACATTTGAGTTTTCGAGCATGTTTACATTTCCAATAAGTTTTATCAATAGTTGTTTTATCGATAGTGTAAGAAAACCCTTTAGGAAGTAATAAAGGTTTGTTCTTTTGAGTAGTGCTCAAGGTAAACGTTAACATTTTAGAATAAAGGAATAGGTCTGTCTAGTATAATAGCTCTTTATATAACCTATTAAGAATCTTTTAACATAATCCTTATTGGATTATGTAAAATTTATCTTATAGTAATAGAAGTTAATTAGAATAAAAAAAAAGTATATGTTTCTTTAAAGTGATCTTTAGCCTATAATAATTCCCATACATCAGTGAAATATGTGCCTTTTTATTTTCAAAATTGCCATCATTCTCTGAATGTTTTTTTTATCGCTGTTTAACTTATTAGCATCAATAGAAAATGCACTGTAGCGATTATTTTTTTAAACTAAACGCTTGAGTACTTTTCATATTGACCAATATTCGTGTCGATCAATTTTCGTATCGATTAATTTACAGCGATCAATTTTCGTTTGACTATTTTTCGTTCGACCAATTTTCGTAGACCCAAAACTAAAATATTCATCATGCCAAAAAAGGGCCAACTGTTGATGTTGTTTCTAAAATAAAGTTCAGAATATCTTTTACAATAGTAGAAAAATGAAAACACAAGTCAGCATATTAATAAGTGCTTTCAGATTATTTCGATCTCGTCTTGGAACATAAAGTTCGAGAAAATTAGCATAGCTGCTTTTCAATAATGTCATGTAAAGTAGTTAAAGCTTTCCATTTTCTCGACTGTACTTGAGAAAATAGAATTAGATCGTATGTTGTCTTTGCACCTAATACAATAGTCGTTTTTCATCAAACCCAATAAAGCTCGCACTCAAAAGACATCATTTTGGATTAGCTATGCTTCTTTTTCCATCATCTCAAAAACTTAAGTTGGAAACAGTTAAAATCTAGAAAATCCCAGAGAGACAATCAATGGTATGCATCATAAGGATAAGTAATGAAAGTATTCTAAGAATCGTCGATTGATCAAGCCTTTTGCGAGTCACCAAACCTTTTTATTATGTCCTTTTAATTGTTAACGGATCATAGAAAAAATAGAAGTAAACGGTTTTTCAACCTGGAAAATTAGTTTTTATTGACAGATCTAGGATTCTTGGTGGATTTTACTGCACAACTTCGTTCAGATATCTTTCTAATTTGCAACTTGTGTAAAATTGAATAGTGGATCTTATGCAAAAACAAAATATTATAGTTTCAATGGATAAAAGTTGAAGAATTCGTAGTGAAAATAAAAAATAGATTTTGCATCGGATACTGCATACGTTGATCGATGTTGTATCGAGTCTTACAGATTGGACCGACAGCTTGAATCGTTTTTAGTCAAAATTTCGCAAGAGTCATGTCAATTTGACTGCAAAATACTCCTCGTCGTTTCAATGAATCCTTAAAAGCTACAAAAGTATTAGGTCCATGTGAACTTGTCGACAAAGATTAATATGCAGTTCTATTATTTTTTCGTCTTCCAATGGCAGCTTACCATATTAATTTTTCTCGCCTGATAAACATGTATAAATATAGAACACCCAAAAATTGGCACCACCATTAAAATAGCGTTTGAATTTTTTGCAGTATAATAATATGACATTCTGAAAAAATAGTTTATTTTTTAAATGATTCTAATTCTGTTTGATCGGTTTAAAATTTCTAGAGATCCAATTTGACTGCAGCTTTTAGAAGGTTAGATCAGTTTTAATTAATAAAATTTCCAATCATGGAGAACTCTTCTGTGGTTATGCTACTAATCTCAACATTAACTCATATCTCAAGATTTTTTTCTCTTTCTCGGTGTGCATCGATTGCACTGAATGTGGATGTGATTATTCTCGTTGCATACACTTTTTTCAGCTATTGAATAATATTGATTCATTCATTTTTATAGTATTCAAAATTTACAACTAAATATAACATGGACAAAGAGACGTTGTCTACAGACAGTAGCACCAGCACTGCCGAAGACAGCACAAATACGGCATCAGTGGTATCAAGACAAGTCACCGTTAGAACTACCACTACTGCTACTATCACAGCTTCGTCACCATCTTTTCGATCACGATCCATACGAATTATGCAAAACTTTCTTTTGGTCTGGCTCGATGCCAAAATTGATGAAAGCAAGGAAGATTTTCAACATTCTCTTACACAACTTCGAAATACCGTTAATACAGTAGAACTATTTACTGATGCTGATGAATGCTTTGAATATTTAAAAAGTATCAAAGATGAAAAAATTATTTTAATCATCTCTGGAGCATTTGGCGAAAAGATAGTGCCTCTGGTGCACAATATGGCTCAACTTGATACCATCTTTATTTTCTGTAGAAACAAAGATCAACACAAACAATGGGCTGAAAATTGGTCAAAGATTCGTTATGTCTCCACCTCAATCGAGCGCATTTGCATGTTGTTACAAAAGACTGCCCGCGAATGCGACCATGACACTATACCGATGAGTTTCGTTCCAAAGCAAATTATGATAACAGCAGCATCGGATCAACAAAAACTAAACCAATTGGAGCCATCCTACATGTATTCGGTACTATTCAAAGAGATCATAATGGAAATTCATGAAGACGAAGCTAAAGCGATGGAAGACCTAATGACTCATTGCCGCCAACAAAACATTTGCGAATCTCAATTAAAGGATTTTCAGCTTAAATACCACCAGAAAACCCCAATATGGTGGTATACTCGTCAAATTTTTCTCTATGGTATGCTCAACAAGGCTTTACGCTCACTCGACATGGAAACCATGATCAAAATGGGCTTTTTCATCCGCAATCTTCATCAACAATTAAAAAAACTTCACAAAGAACAACTGGATGCAAATATGAAAAAATTTGTCGTTTATCGTGGTCAAGGGCTCAGCGAACAAGACTTTCAACATCTGGTCGATACAAAAGGTGGATTGCTCTCATTTAACAATTTCTTGTCCACAAGTACAGAAAAACAGATAGCAGTGGAATTTATTGAGCGTGTATTGCACAAAAATGAGGACACAGTGGGTGTTCTCTTCGTTATGACAATCGATCCAAGTAAAGTTACGGCTTCAAATACTCCATTCGCGCTGATCGAAAAATACAGTGCTATGAAAGAGGAGAAAGAAATTCTCTTCTCAATGCACACTGTTTTTCGTGTCGATGATATCAAGCAAAGTGTCAACAATGGTCGCCTCTGGAAAGTTCAGTTGACTCTAACTGACGACAATGATCCACAACTGGCTGCTCTCACCAGATGCATACAAGGCGAACTTTGTGGATTTTCAGGATGGCATCGATTGGGAGACTTAATGATTCAAGTGGGTCACTTCAACCAAGCTGAAGAACTTTACAATGAATTACTCAAGAATGCTTTAAACGACAATGATAGAGCACGTATTTATCACCAACTTGGATGGGTGAAAGACGATCAAGGACAATACAAAGAAGCTGTTTCGTTTTATGAGAAATATCTCGAAATCAAGCGAAAAGCTCTCTCTGAAGATCATCCGTTATTGGCTTCTACCTACAACAATATCGGTCTGGCGTATAACAATATGGGTGACTACGCGAAAGCACTTCAATTTTATGAAAAAGCACATACAATTGAAGAAAAAGATCTGCCTTCGAATCATCCTGATTTAGCTAATTCTTACAACAATATCGGTCTTGCGTATAACAACATGGGTGATTACTCGAAAGCACTTGAGTTTTACGAAAAATCACTTAAAATACGAGAAAAAACTCTGCCTTCCAATCATCCTAGTTTGGCTTCTTCCTATAACAACATCGGTGCAGCGTATTACGGCAAGAATGATTACTTGAAAGCACTTGAATTTTATGAAAAAGCACATCAAATTGAAGAAAAAGCTCTGCCTCCAAATCATCCTGATTTGGCTTCTTCGTATAACAACATCGGCCATGCGTATAGTGGCATGAGTGACTACTCAAAAGCAATATCATATCTAGAAAAGGCGCTTGCTATTGGACAAATATCACTTCCATCAACGCATCCTCTGATCAAAACATTTATGAATAGTATTGACTGCGTAAAAAAGAAGTTGTAAATTTGTTTTTTTTTCTTCTGGCTTGCTCAACAACTTCTTTCTAACTGCTATTCATTTCTTCGGACTTTTCACGCGCACGGACAGGGAGGCTCCCGGAGCCTGAAATGGGTACACGCAGAACAGACCATGTCAAATCGGTTGGGTAATAAACGTCGCTATGACGTACATAACGATGGCAGGCACCTACAAATGCAGTAGGTCTTCCTGAATCTACAATTCTTTCGCCATAACAGGCACAAAGAATCTCTCTGGGTCAAGTTACCAAGTCACATGGTGGGTTGTGACATAAGATGGTGCCTCTCCCTCACTGTATGATATTATAACTAACACACAACAAATAATTTAACAAATAAAAAAATATCTTCTTTCAAGAGAATTAAAATATTATTTCATCTCGAATAGATGATATGTCTAAATTATCTTATACATAGAGTGAGAAATCCTATCGGTCACTAGAAATTCTCAACTTATATATGTTACCACTTCATTAGAAAAAAATGTTAACTTAGGTTTTACTTACTTCTTTCTAAAGCCTTTGCTTAAGGAAAGCACATTAAAGCAACATAAGTATTTGAGACTGGAGTGTATAAATAATTGTATGAATTAATGAATAAATTTCATTTCGACTAGAACAATAACATATAAGAGTCGATAATTGGACTTCGGATCATTGTAATGATAATGGTTGTAAATAATAGAATTGTAAATTTGAAATATCGCAATCAATGTAAGGTTGCGATAATCAATACGTTACCATAAATTCTTGAATTGTTGTCATGTCTTAAAACAAACAAAAAGATCAGTGTACTTTCTCATTCTCTTGATGATGAGTTGCTCGCTTGAACAGAATGGTTTGGCAGAGAAGAGCCGTTTCTTACATATGTTTTTAATATGAGCTGCCAATCGATGATTGATATGTTGATCAATTTAAACTTTCCATCGACGATCATTCAATCAATATGAGTTTAAGCGTGATCGATGGTCTTTTGTTCATTCATACCCGTAGTCAATACATATTTTCTTGAAAATAATTTGATCAAAGCACATAAGAGTGCAGAGCATAATTTCTGCAATTCTTGATTCGTCAACCCTGTATCTAGACCAAAGACTGAATGTCCATGAAGTTTGTAGAGTACATCACAATCTATGGCAAGATCTGATAGCGCAAAATATAAATATTAAGATTCGCGTATTTTGTACCTATTTATGAACAGACACCATATCTGGATATCTTTTCATTAGAACCCGTGGTATGTCAATATTGTTAGTAAAAGAGATCGTCAATTCGATGAAAAGAATTCTCAAAATTTTAGATCTCCGGAGATAATGTTTGCACCAGAGCAAAATTGTGTCCCTATATTTTTCTCACGAGGGAACATTTCCAGGTGTTGGAACGCTTTTCAGACGGAACTTAGTACATTTTGTAGACCTTAGTGGGCTATGTTTACTATACATAAGGTTCGTGCCCATGACCTATTTCTAAGGAGATTGAACGGTTTTAGTTTTATAGCTGAATATTTCCACTGTATCTCAACCACATTGTACACAAATGATCTCCAATTTTGATGAAGTTTTCAGCGTTTATAGAGCTTTTAATTCTGAGCATTTTGATAAAAAAACTGTTTCAAAATACTTTTGTTTTAATGAAGATACATTCAAAACCTGTAGGCAGTAAAAAACCCAAAAACTCTGAGAAAAATTTTTCTTGAACGTTTTTGAGTTTTTATTACTTACAGTATTTTGAATGTATCTTCATCAAAACAAAAGCGTTTTGAAAAAATTTGTTTTTATCAAAATACTCAGAATTAAAAGCTCTATAAACGCTGAAAACTTCATCAAAATCGGAGATCATTTGTGTACAACGCGGTTGAGATACAATGGAAATATCCAGCTATAAAACTAAAAACGTTCGATCTCCTTAGAAACAGGCCATGGGCACGAACTTTTTTAATAGTAAACATAGCTCACTAAGGTCTACAAAATGTACTAAGTTCCGACTGAAAAGCGCTTCAACAATTGGGAATGTTCCATCGTCAGCTCTTTTACCATAAAAGTATTCATTAGTAGTGTTCAGAACATAAAAGCCATCGACAAAAAACGACAAATTTTCTTTATCACATTTTCTTCACGAGAAATCTGAATATGTCTACTGTCAAATGCCGCTAATGGTCATTTCTTGGCCACGAAATTCTCTTTCTCTTTTTCATAAAAATCGAATGAAAATGTGTTTTTTCTCTAAATTTGGTGTTGCACGAACATGCATATTTCCTCCTCACCTTTCAAGTCTTAAATATCTAAACGTACTATATATGACGTAAAAGTTTGTTTTTCGAGCTTAAAAACGTTCATTTATTCATTTATTGTTTTGTATGATAATAACTAAAACAATAGAAGAAGAATCATATACATAAAATATTTTTATAAAAACAAAGAGAAACACAACGTGTTGTTCAAGTAGATTAGATTCTGTAATAGGGGATATTTTCATCGATATTGGTGTTGTATTTTGTTCATTAAGAACGAGATGAATTAATAAGTGGTAATGACGATAAACGGGAATATAATCATAAAACCGAGTGAGATCTTCATCATATGATCATCTTACAAAAAATAGAAAACCATGAACATGAAATATGAAAAAAAATTTATTTACTAGTTTTCACTTTTAGTCGAATCACTATAGAATAAATATTTTGCATAAACTATATAATGTATAAACTATGTAGTACCACGAGGATCTATAATACAGAATAAATCATAACGAGCTTGAATGAATCTATCATTGATGAACAATATGAAGCCATATGAAGATCATTAAAAGAAGGAAAAAAACATTTTTCTTTGTCAAATGAATATTTTTTTAATTTAAATGCAACTGAATAGTTAATAGTTGTATCAAATTTAACTTTTTATTTATAAAAATATACCACATGATGAGCCATGATGATATTTGATTTGTTTAAGATGTACAATGAGTATTGGCAATGAGTCTGAGTGTAAGTTTTTCGTTCATTCACATCCACACTCACAAATATGTTCTCGTCGAAATTGTTTGGTTCATGAAAAAAACGATTTCATCATCAACTCGTTTTGTTTCTAAAAGAAAATTCAGACGGAATAGTTATTACCATTGCGTAGTTATAACACAAACTCAATTATATTCAAATACGTTCAAGTTGATTTGGCTGTTTGTTAGCATAAATTTTAATCTAAAAAAAAAGCAAAGAGTATTTTTCGATATTATCTATGTTCATGAAAAATCAAAAATGAAGAACAACGAATAATTGTTTTAATGTCTTCTTTAGTTCTCAGATTACAAACAACTGACAACATGAAACGATAAGGGATTATATTATGTTCTTAACTTGTTCTGTGATTATATACCTAGAAAAGAATTAAGGAGAAGATCTTAAAATAGTATATAGACGTCTTTCTTCGTAGAGTGGGATGAGTGGGCTACAAGTGTAGACTTCACCCACACTCACACACTTAAAAGTGTACATACTTCCATCAAGCTCATCTGTGATACATTGCAAGTAGCTGTCAAGCAATGCAAGCAAAATACAAAGTCGGTAAGCATTATTAGCGCGAACGAAGGAGGCTCTAGCGAAACTCTCAATCAGCTAGAACTGATCTTCATGTATTCACAAAGATTCAAGGAAATTATTCTTAATATGGAATATGGGCAACAGACCAGCAAAGATGAAATGAAGTTTCGTCAAGAAGAATATCGTAGCAATGTACAAGAAACAAATCAGTCAATATGATGGAAAGATCTTTTTAGTTTATCGGCATCAAGGATTATTGACAGTCGATTTCGAAAAACTCGCAAAAGATAATGGTGGACTTATATCTTTTAATAATTTTTTTCCCAGTAAAAGTCGTGATGTCTCGTTCGGATTCGCCAAAGATGCCTTTAGAAACAACCGATAGGATCTGTATGCTTTTTCAAATGACCATTGATTTCACGGTCTCATCGACTCCGCTTGTCTCCATCTAAGAGAAGAGTTATTACAAGAAAGACGAGAAAACCCTCTTCTTGAAGTTGTGGGTACTTAAAAGATGCAACACACACACACAATCCATGATCGTACTATGGAATCGTTAGCTTCCAATATTTTTGAAATCCTGCGTGATGTATCTGATGGTGGTTAGATCAAACAAATAATCTTTTGTAGTATGTATTTTTATTGAGATATGATGACAATAATGAGAACGATAATTTTTATTCTCTTTTCGGACTCGAAAAAACTCCATTCTTCGCATTTTCTCGTTCGAAGTTATTGTATAGCCCGAAGAGTCCTTTAAGTAAAGTGAATAGTTTATTTCAATCACTAGTTAGTGTTATTAAAATAACAATTGAGACAATTTACAAATTACAGCTGCGAACTATCATATGGTAGTAGGCTCCACGTCGTTCTATCAAGGCTGCGTGAGTACCACTTTCTACGATATGTCCTTTGTCAAGAAAGCAGATCAAATCACATGAACGAATGGTTGACAGACGATGAGTAATTATGAGTGAAGTTCGAGTTGGATCGTCAGTTTGAGCTTTTTCAAGAGTTTCTTGAACGATCTATTCATATCAAAAATGACTCTTAGGTTAACAAGTATCATAAACAAAAGAACCTGTTCATTGTACGAATCCATGGCACTGGTTGCTTCATCTAATAACAAAATTGTTGGTCGACGCAGAAGAACTCGAGCAAGAGCAATACGTTGTTTCTCACCACCTGACAAGTGACTGCCTTTCATACCAACTTTGGTCTCGTAGCCCTAGTATTGCGATGCAAAGAAAATCAAATATCATGCGTTGATACTTTACTAACTTGAGGTAACTGCTGAATGAAATCATGAATGTTGGCTTTGATGGCTGCATCAATAATATCTTCAATCGAAGTGTTTTCTATACCATATGCTATGTTCTCAGCAATAGTCAAATCAAATAAGACAGGCTCTTGACTAACAAGACCAAGACACGAACGAAGCCATTGCATATTCAGCTCTCGAATATCAACACCATCGAGAGACTAGATGTTATTAGCCGAGTGTTTACACAAATATGTTGATAACATAAAAGAGAAATACTCACAATTCGACCTTGCATAGGATCATAGAATCGTTCCAAGAGTTGAATGACTGTCGATTTGCCACAACCAGATGCACCTTTGTAAATAGATTTGGTAACTGTTTTAAATGAACAACAAATGACTTCGACATACCTATAAGGGCCACACGTTGACCTTATTGACAAATAGAGAAATTTAATCAAAAACTAAACTGAAAATACACAGAATAAACTTACCAGGTTTGATGGTCAATTGAAATTTATTCAGAATGCAGGATTTTGGCCGAGATGCATACGCAAATTTGACTTGATAGAATTCTATTTCACCTTTGAAATCGCTCTATTATCAACACATTTTAACAATAAAATAAAAGTAATTTGTACAAGAATCAGACTTATATTAAATGAATTACTCACCAATTGTTTACCATGCGTTGAATTATTGTCGATGGCTGTTATTCGGTCGAACAAATTGAAAAAATCTCGAGCTGCTGATAATGAGTCACTCATCTGTCGTGTTCTAAGCAAGAGTACTTGACAAAAAGAAACTGATCGACACAATTACTTACGAGGTCATGATGCATCGCAACGATTCCAAGGCGAATATATAATAGGCGAACACTCTAGAAAAACATGTAGATAAAATAGATCTTGAAAGTTTCTACTTATGTACATAGAGATATTGTTCATCTTCAGTTCCTTGTGTTCAGCAAGGATAAGCGCCCGCCAAAAAAGAACTAACAAAGCTAATGGCCCTGATCCCCAATAGATACTCTCTAGAATGGAGGATATTATTATATCATTTCGGCGAATCCTATGACAAAATAATGCATAGAGAATAAGAAAAAAAGTGATTGAAAAACTGACTTGAATTCTTTAAGAACTAAATTTGAGAATTGACGTAAGAATTCTCCTTCGCTTGCCAGTTGTTTCACTGTACGCATATTGTGAATGATCTCTACAGCGAGCTATTAACAAAAGAAGGTGCAGTATCAACATTTCTGCGTACGTAACATTGTCACAGAAATGTTGATCTTACCGAACTTGCTAATCTAAGAATACAATCAGAACGTTGATTCAGTCGAGCTTGCCAACATATTTGCATGACAGAAATAATAAACAAAGAGACAATAAAGAACAACATGATTAATGTTAACTGCCAATTGAACAAAAATCCGAGAACCATACCCACTCCAAACATCGCGATTGATTCAAAAACAATGCCTAGGCGAGAACCAACCATCTGCTGAATAGCCAATGCATTCGATGAAAGACGATTACAAATAGCTCCAGAACTATTTTCCACAAGATCAAAGAAGGCCATTTCTTGACGCAGATAGTGTGCAAAAGCTTTACTACAAATACGCTCGGTCAATTTTGAGCCAGATACAGCAAAAGCAGTGTACTAGTGATGAACACAATATGAAACGTTTTATAAGATATATTCCTACTTGAATAACACGAACAATCAAAAAGACAATACCCATCAACAAGAAGAGAAGAGAAAATTTGAAAATTTGATGACGTCGTTCTTCGTAAGTGCATGCTCTGAATACCTGTAAACAATCAATTACGATAATGTTGATTGTGTTGTACATGAAAATGACTTACTGAAATTGTATTCGAAAGTAGAATAACCTGGATTGATTGACCCACTCCGCTGATGATGCACATCACACAGCCTATCAGAATGATAATCCACTCTGGACTGTTCATAAACAAAAGTCGCAAGAAAACAGGTCGACGATTTGTAGTCAATGACGCCTATTAAAAGTACACCGTACATGCAAAAACAATCCGACAGAAATACATTTATATGCTTTACTTTATTCCCATCGTCAAGTTCGTTATGCCTATAATGTCGAGAGCGTTCAGCTAATTGCAATAAACAATGATCGCGTTCGAAATATTCTTTTTTTAAAAGTAATTACTAACGTACATGTTTGTTTTTGATCAGCATCTTCATATTGTGTGAGACTTGCTGCTACTTCGATATCATTTTCTAGTTGTTCTCTCTGTTGTGCTTTCATAATCTTCCAATATTGACTTTCTTCTTTTGATATCAATATCTCGTGTGTACCTTGTTCGATAACACATCCATTATGCAACATATAAATTCGATGTGCATTTTGAATTGTTGCAAAACGATGAGCGATCACAATAGTCGTCCGACCTATGTGTAACTATAGATGATATGATTGAAAGAGAAAGATGCATGCGAACCTTTACAAGCTCGATCAAGTGCTTCTTGTACAACCTCTTCACTGGCTTTATCAAGAGCACTTGTTGCTTCGTCCAACAAAAGCACGGCTGGCTGTTTGACAAGAGCACGAGCCAAACACACACGTTGCTTTTCACCTCCACTCAATAGAACACCACGTTCACCAACGACTGTATCATATTTCTACCAAAATAGAATACACGGTAGATGTCATTAGAAACGAGCATTCGATACAAACATTGGGTAATTTCATAATGAAATCATGTGCATTAGCTTGACGTGCTGCTTCTTCGATCTCGATTCTTGTTGCATTTTCTTTACCAAAGCGAATATTTTCATAAATACTTGTAGCGAAAAGAATCTACATAAAATAACATGAAATGCAAAAGTCAGAACACACAAAGACAGACATACAGGTTCTTGACTGACTACACCTATCTTTTGTCGGAGTTGTTTCAAATTGTAATCTGTTATCGATCGATCATTAATTGTAATGCCACCAGATAGAGGCTCATAAAAACGAAGTAAAAGTGAAAAGCATGTGCTCTTACCTATTCATTCAACAAATAACAGAATATGAATCTTTCGTATGTTTTTTTTTTTGTAAAATACTTACCAGAGCCATTTGAACCGACTAAAGCTGTTATCTCACCAGGACGAGCCGTCAAAGTGAGATTTCGTAGGACTAAGACATCAGGTCGAGCTGGATAGGCAAAGTTGATATTATCAAATTGAATATCACCATTCATATTGATAGTTTCGTCACAAGCAACAGAATCTTGCAATATTTGAGTCTCATTCATACTTGTCTTCTCTTCCTATGTTATGTGATGGTGAAAAGATGAAGTTATACATTAGACACAACTATACCTCGTCGATCAATCGAGATACAGGCACTAAAGCACCTCGAGCTTCTTCTAATAACTGAAAGAAAGGACTAACAAAGGCAATATTAGTGATAAGCCGTGTCGAAGTAATCAATATCTACTCGAACATCGAGAAATCATTGGTTTTATAAATCTGATTGGTGAAATGAATTACTTACTACAAGAAGATCACTAAAACTAAGTCTTTCATGTCCTTCATGATTCATGAGAGATGAGCCGAAAGCAAAACCAACTGAATAAATTAAGTATCCTATTAGATAGATCCATCCAACAAGAAAACCAAACATAGCACCCTTACATATACTACTCCTACGAGTAGCTTGTAATTTGCTTTTGTATCTAAATAATCAATCAAATTAGAACATGACCATAGCTCATGACTTACAAAGTTCAATTATCAATATATGTATATATTTCCTACCTCTTTTCTTCGAGTTTTTCACCGTTGAGCGAAAGTACAGTACGAAGAGAACTGAACACTTCCTGAACGACTTCTCCAGCTTTTGAATACATATCCATTTCGTATCTTGTTTCTTTGGCAGTAAGCTGTTAGAATTAGAGTAAGCTAAATCAATCATCAAAAGTCGCATTTACCTTTGAAAAAACATATGATCCAGCAACAGTTAATGGTATCGTGCCCAGTATGACAAGTGTCAACTTCCAATTAATGAGTAAAGAAACACAAACACTGACAATAGTGGAAAATAATGCTACGAGCATCATTGATAATTCAAAACCGATGCTTTTACTGAGAGTGTCAATATTGCTATGAGATTAGAGAGCCATATATTGTTTCTCTTGAAAGAATCGACAGAAAATTGCTTACTTGAAAAGCTTGACACTAAACTGGTTCATCGAATTCATATCGCAATATGAAATATTCTATGAATGAGAGACAGAGAAATAAATAATACGTATGTGCAAGAATCAACTAAAATTAGGTTTGTAAAAGATGCAGCCGAATAAATTGCCTCTTCCTGATTTTTCAATATCTCCATTCTTTGTCATTGCTCAGATTAGAGCTTTTTTTCAAAATATGTGCTGTGTAATTACCCACAAAATGATATCTTTTATTCAATGAGTGTAGTCTTCTTCACTTTTCAAACACTACAGAACTATGTAGAGCACTAAAGTTTCATTTTCAATGTATTTTATTTTTCAACTTTTCTCTTGTGGTATTTTAACTCTTACAACATTGAAACTTTTATTGTGATGTTTTCAGATGTTTCAATTTTTTCTTTGAATCAATTCATCGTATGTGATACTGATCTTACTAAATTTATTGAAACTATTAATTGTGAAGGCGGCATGAAACACATTACGATAGTGTACGAGTTAAAATACCACAGAAAACAATCGAGAGAAGCAAAAATATTTCAAACTTGTACATGATAGTTCTACACAGTTCTCTGACTTTTGACATCATGATAGACATAATGGAAAATTCTAACAATATTTGTCACGATCTGTGGGGAAAGGAAAGGATTACTTTTCTCACAAATGACTTCAGTTCTCATTTCCTGTCATGTTTCAGAATGTATATTTGGAAAGAAAGTTAGATTGTGAATGATGATAGTGAACAGAGATACTGAGAAAACGATGCCTCATCCGTTGTGTTAGCGTGAAGATGAACGTGGTTGACATACGCGTTTTAAGAGTGATTGTAAAAGACGAATACGTATTCGGGAGGCTTGCCGTCTACCGACAACGGTGAAGAGATAATAACGAACAGCAGTACAGACGATTTCGATTGCACCGATGACTACATACATTCAAGATACAAATCATTCTTTTTTTAAATAGATTAAAAATTATGTTGTTTCTGTTTACTTAACAGCCAACGCAATTGATTTCTCACATCAGTATGGAAATTGGTCGTAGACAGCGCCTCTAATGGTGTTAAGGTAGTATTCTCATTTCGACAGAGACTAAAATTGATGAGCAATTAATAAATAAAACAGTTGAAGTCCATCAACATATTTTATGATCATTGCTTACTTTTGAGATCCATCATAGTTAAAAGTATTTTGCACCATATTCCACGAACATTCACTGCTGTTGCTAAGATTAACCAATGTGTTTTGTTGTAAAGGACATCGGTCGATAAAAGATTGTGACGCAAATAAGCTTGTAAGTCGCCCAAAAACAACAAAGCGGGCTGTGAATGCAATGCTATACACTAAGACAGCACATAAGCCAAGAACTATTATGAGAAGATCGAGCCAATCAGCAAAACGAAACTGTCACAAAGTTAAAAAAAATATTCCGTTGTTTACTGTGCATTAGCTCTCAATCCACTTACCAGTTGAAAATATCCGACCGTCGGTTCTATCTGAGTTTGATTATTATCATCATCCAACTTTTCATATTTTTGATGACGCTGCTTGAAAGTGAAACGCTGACGCAAATTGGACAATCTATATGAATACAATATTGTCATTGATACATTTCTAAATTCAATTCTGTCTTACGTGCTAGTTACTGATCGTTTTGTAATCTTATTACCATCATCAATGGAGAAACGATCTATTGCTGATATTAGCGGCTGTGTATCATTCATTACGTACTGTGTAATTTTTTCTCTTTGAAAGAAATCGAAAATGATAATATTTACGCTGCAAACAAGTATTCGAATAGATGATTTGCTTGGTTAAACATGTATGCTAATGTAAACATGACAATCAAGGACTATTAAAGTATCTCTGCAGAATATGTAAAAGTACAATGACTCTGACATCACGTATAGCTGATCAATAAGAAAAAAAGAGAAAACATAGATGAGTGATTCGAATTATCCTTTCGTAATAATGACGACGTAGAGAGAAAAATCGTAAATTACAGTTCGAGAAGCAAATTCATGAGCATCGATCAGTATTAATAGATAGAAGGGGAAACATTACTTGAAAAAGGAGAAAGAAAGACAGATGAATCATGAAAGATATAGTATTATAAACTCAAGAGCAGACGGGAACAAAATAGCACAAAACTATGGCATGTTAGTGGTGGTAGAAATCTGCTCTGTAAAATGTGCATGTACAAAATCTTTCATATATAGATTCAAATAGACGAAATTCTGCTTAAAATTTTGTTTTTTAAATAGAACTCAATCAAAATTCTAATTTCCTAATTGAATTGTTTTTGTTACGCACTTATCCCCGTAGAAATAAATTTTCAGCATAACTCCAATATTGACAAGTTTTATGAAGATTTAATTAAATTAATATATTTTAGACATCGAATTTCTTCAATTTTGGCTTCATTCGATATCTCATGAAGTTATTGACGAAGTGGTTTTAATGCAATTGTATATTCAGTTCTATTTAGTTTTAAACTGTCTATTTTCGAGACAATCTCATAGCATTGTTTTGAATATATATAGTCAAAAATTTGATTTACAGCTGTACTTATTAATGAGGATTCAGTCTTTTTTTATTTGAGAAACAAACATTCTCAATTGATATCATCTATTACTAGTTTTTTCATATTGAATTAATTACTTCCAATCATTTTCAGTTAACTCTATTCCTAGATTTATATCTTTTATATTTAACAATGTCTTGTTCATTATCCCACATTAAAATATAATGTTCAGGAAATTTTTTTAATGTTTAAACTCTTACATCATTAATACGTCTATATTCATCATGAATAACAACATAATAAGATGAATCATGTTGATGTTCCGCATGCAGAAGAAATTCAAGAAACTGTTAAATATAATAGATATTAATTTAATAATATAGTTAACTGAAAATTATTGGAAATAATCAACTCAACATGCAAAAAATTTATAAATTACATCAATTGTCAATAAGATTTGTTTCTCCAATGAAACATGACTGCAATCAATTTTTTTAATATTAGCATTCTTTAGTCCTATAGCCATGTCGGCCCTGAAGGGGCTATTGAGCTTCAAGACCATATATACCAATAATAAACTGAATTAAAATAAAATAAATGGAAAATAAGAAGCAAAGAAATAACAATAACATTAAAAAAAGAAACACAGAAACGTGAAGAAACAATCGCGATATGAAGAGAGAAAAAGAACAGTAAAATAATTGTGGAGATATATTGTATTACCGAGATGACTAATACATATATATATATATATATATGCACTTTTTTCTTTCTTTTCTATTGACCTTACCTCTTCACAACTTGGATCACAATCCTCAATCCACGTTATTTTTTTGTTCTTCTCTTTTTTTTATTTAGCATGATCTAGAATCGAGTGTCTAAAAACTAACAGAAAATAAAGCAAAGCATAACAATTTTTCGTCTTCCCATACTATTTACGGAATCTGAAGTCCTATACATTGCTATCCATACGTAGGTGAAGTTAGCAGCCGATTCGAGTAATTCTGGCAGTGATTCTCCTAGGAACTTCGTCCAACGTTCCTATTCTCGGTTCAAGGACAACTCAACGAGTTCTATCCAATGGTATGCTCAGATTTTCGATAACCCAAAGTATAATTTTCAGATCCTCACTAGCGCCATCTATCAGCCCAAAAGTCATACCTTGGTCTATCGAAAATCTGAGCATATCATTGGATAGAGCTTATCGAGTTGTACTTGAACCAAGAGTAGGAACGTTGGATCAAGCTCCTAGGCGAATCGCTGCCGGAATTACTCGAATCGGCTGCTAATTTCATCTACGTGCTATCCATCTAAGCGCTTGTTCTAATACATTCATGTGTAGGATAAACCTTGTTGGTCTGCGTGAACAGCGAATACGTCTAGCTCCCTCTTGCCATTGTGACCTATGTGCATCCAATTTCAATCGTTCCACCAACAGGTATCCATGCTTAGATTTCAACAGTGCCTTTGCATACTTTTCCCAGTAAGCATAGCAGAGATCA